AGTTCAATTCGATTCGATTCGATTCGATTTGAAAAAATCAAATCAAATTCAAATTGCTTAAATATTTGATTCGATTCAATTTTGAGGAACCCTACTAAATCTACATCTATTTTACTTAGGAACTTTTTTTTAAAAAAAAAATCAATTTGATACATTTTCCTAGCACTCATCCCATTTATTCTAACTAGTAGTATTAGTTGTAATAAATTCTAAAGTAAGCACAATTATTTATTAGAACTTTTTTAATCAACTCAACCATCAACTGAGTTATAATTCTTATTTGAAATTAGTAACTATAATTATATAATTAATATCTTAAAATTTAACAAAATTTTAATTAATATTGAAAAAAATAATTATAAATTTTCATTAGAAATAAAGTTTTCAGAATCCTATCTCAGAATTTGAAAATTCTGAAATTGATACTTAGTTTTTTATAAAATTAACTTAATCATTAACTTTAATTTTAATAGCAAATATTACTAATTTTAACTTATTATTAATTAAATTATTTATTATATAAAATTTTTTTAATATTTTTTAATCTAACATACATTAGCCTACAAAGAGTATTTGAATTTTTTTTATTTATAAAATTTACATTAAATTTCATAATTTTTATATATATATATAAATCTTTTTCATACTTATTAATTGACAAATAAATTTATTTTATTAAAGTATAAAATATAAAACCATTATACAAAAAATATTATAGCTAAAAAATTAATACTTAGTATAGTCACCTTTGGCCTTGATTACAGCTTTAACCTGATTAGACATACTCAAAATTAGGCAATAACATATATCAATAGTGATTTTTTGTCATTCCTCTTGTATTGCCTCAATTAACTCCTATTTAGATTTAGGTAAAAACTTTCTTTTTGAACCTGATAGTCCAAATAGTTTTACAGATTTTCAATCGAGTTTATATCGAAGCTTTGTATTATCCAGTCTAAAATCAAAATACAATGTATTCTTAGTATTCTTATTTACTAAACGCTGTAAATTAAAGTATGACAGGACATCCCACCTTGTTAAAAATGGAGTTGGAGTAATTGCTAACCTATAGGATAAAATTATTGGCTAGGATATTTATATATTTATTAGAATCTATGTTTCTTTTACCACAACTAAAGGGCTAACCTCATGTCAACCAAAACATCCCCAAAACATTACTGATCCTTCTCAAATTTAACTGTAGTTTAATATAATTTTTATTGTGGTTTTTTTAGGATTTTTCCATATGCTTACTCAATTATTTAATTAAAAAAAGCAAATCTTGACTTATTCTACTATACCACTTGTTTTCATTTCTTTATCTAATTTTTTTTCTTTACACTAATTTAAACAATTAGTTCATATTTTAGAGTCAAATGAAATTTTTTCATATAGTATAACATCTGAAACCTTCATCAAGAAGGTAACTTCTGACTATATTATAGTATACAGTTATGTCAATACTAGTATTTAGTTTGTCTGTCATATTTCCTAAAGGAGAAAACTAATCAGTTCGAACAATATGTTTTAAAGCTCAAGTATCATATTCACTAAGTATTTTTGGTCATCCAAAATGTTGTCTGAGTTCTAAAGAACCAGTTTTTTTATATTTTTTTATGATATCACTTACCGTACTAGTCAGAATATTAAGCTGAATAGAAATAATTCTTTGCCTAATACCGTTAAGATATGCGTTGATAATTCATTCCTGATAGGTCTTTAAAACTTCATTTCTATGTATTTAAAACTAAAAGAGGAGTTAAAAATAAATATTTTGTTACCTCTTTTATTTATATAAGCGATAGAAAGAAATGCTGATTTTAACATAGGAATACAAAATCACATAATGAAAATCTGAATACTTTTGTAAACCAGTGTAATACTTAAAGTTTTAATATATAAATGATACAAAATGGTAATAAAACTTAATTTAGAATAAGAAAAATTTAACATTTTATTCTAAATAACTAATATTTTAATTATACATTTTTTATTGCAATCACTATTCAAATTCTATTTAAAATATATTATTATTTATGATTAAGAATTAATTAATAATATTTTAGAATAATTTGAGTAGTAATTATAATAAAGGAAATAATATCAAACTTTAATTATTTGTTGTAAAATATTATTTTAAATAAAAATTTAATTAAATTTTTATTAAAAATTTTATGATTTTATTTAATTTATATAGTCTTTATATTATTAACAATAAATATAAAATACTTTTACAAGACTTTAATATTATTATTTATAATATAAAGAATAAAATATGAGCAGAATGTAATTGTAATTAAAAAGCATTATAAAAATTATACTTTTAACAATAAATATATTTATTTTTAAAAAAGAAGCAAATATTTTTTAGCTAGAATACATAGTAAAAATAAAAACAGTGAGGCGTAACATAAGATGACAAATAACACATATATAAAGCACGTGACACCGGTGGTGAAAACCATTTATATCAGTATCGCCACACCTCCACGTGACTTTGGCCGGCATTACGGCATTAGTAAATTGACCACGTGACAAATAAGGCGTGACAAATATCATGTGGGGGTGAAAAATCTTGTGGCGATACTGGGTAAGATGGTTAATACTAGTGGTGATACGTAGTAAATTTCTTTAAAAAATAATAAAAAAATATTATGTAATAAAATTATTAAAATTAACTATAAAAAAATTGTTAAATATAAAAAAAGTCGTAATGTAAAATTATCAGTTTCACAATCGTGACATGTACACCCCCAGGGATGCATTTCATTGTAAAGTCATTTCATTTCCATTTTTGGATGAGAATTTATGCGATATCCAGTCAGTATAATACTTATTTGAAAACAATCCTTATAAACTTATAGACAATACAAATTTTAACGTTAATATTTTGGTAACGCAGAAAAAAAAAATTGATAACAATGGTTTGAAAAAAAGATTAAGTTTGTTCTGCTTGATTTAGAAAATTTAAATGCGTATCAATGGAATAATACTAGAGAAAGTTAATATCGTTATATTTTTTATAAATTGAATCGAAAAATTCAGTTTCTCCAAAAAAAAAAAAATATTATATCTTATTTCTTGAATAAAAAATACCTTCTCCACATTAAAAAAATAAAACCTTTAAACAAAAAAAATGTTTTCATTAGAAGCAATAAATAAAATTCTCTACCTTGCACTTTCAAAGTTAAACATTTATTATGTCATATTCGCAACATTAACTTATTTTGTAATAAGACCATATATTTCATATTTTAAAAATCGTAAAGAATTAGCACCAGGACCATTGCCATTACCACTTATTGGGTATTGGAATATATATCTGAAAGGAGATATAGCACAAAATCAATATAACCTTTCAGAAAAATATGGAGACATTTGCGATATAGAATTTTTTGGACAACGTTGTGTCTTAATAAGTTCACCACATCTACTCAAAGAATTATTCAGTCCTAGTGTACATTCACAATTTCTTAATCGGTTACCTTTAACTTCAGGATTTACCGAATTAGGGATGGATAAGGAAGGATTATTATTTAATACCGACATACCAAAATGGAGACATAATCGAAAATTTTTTCAACAATCTTTATCTCCGCCATCGTTTATGGAGTTAAGTACAAAATATACCGCAGAATGTTGTAATGAAATGATTGATTATTGGAGTCATATTGAAGAAAATCAAGTTGTTAGATTGGATGATTGGCTTAAAGCATTTACAAGTGACATGATGGGATTAGTTGCTGCTGGCAGCAAAGAATCTTCAATGAAAATTAAATATATGAAATCAACCAATCAAATAATCAAAGAAACGAGTCTTGAAGAAGAAACAAATCGTGGTGAACTTTATAGAAGATTAAGAAGTGAATATGTTGACGCATTAGCATTTTACACTTTTGTACCGAAACTTCTTTGGAAACTTCCCTTAATAAGAAGCGTTGTTAAACATCATAATTACATTTTAAATTATTTAACTGATTTCGAAATTCAATTTATTAAAGAACGTAAACAACAAATTGATAGTGAAAAGGAAGTCAAAATCAATCATAATGATAAGAGAGTTAGACCTGATTTTCTTACAATGTTAATCACAGAAAATGATGAGCCCTCTCCTGATGATATTAAACAAAGTATTCGAGAAATGTTTAGTGCGGGAACTGCTACTACGAATACAACAATTTGTTCAATTGTGTACTTATTGGCGAAGCATCCCGAAGTTGAAAAACTTATGGTAGAAGAATTCTTGAGCGTAATTGGACCAGATAATCAAATTAGTTCATCAGATTTATCAAAATTAACCTATACTGAAGCGGTAATAAATGAATCGATGAGAATATATCCCGTAATTCCCATAACTTATCGTTATTCACCAGAAAAAGACGCACAAATTGGAGATTATCACTTCAAAAAGGGCACTATATTTGGTATCAATTTAGGTCATATCCATCTTAATCCAAAATATTTTGAAAATCCAATGCAATTTAATCCTAAAAGATTTCTTGGTAATTGGAAAGAAAGATATCCTAAATTTGCATTTTCTCCGTTTGGTCACGGTATGAGAAGTTGTCCTGGTAAAAATTTTGCTATGGTCGCAACAAAAGTTATTTTGGCTACTCTATATAGAAAATATACCTTTAAATTAGTTAAACCAAGCGAACCTCTTCATCTCAAATTCACTTTAGTTAACGAAATAAGTAAAATGGAGGTTTACGTTGAAAAGAGAAAGTTGGTGTGAATTTCTTCTTTAAGGGAAACATAAAATTTTAATTTTGTATATATCAGCATTCATTCAATTAATAAATTCATGATATTTAATTTTTTTTTAAATAAAAAGATATAGTACCGTAACATATGTGTATAACCTAATACGTTTTTATTTTTAAATTATGAGTGTACGATAAATGTTATATTGAACCTATTAAGTCATTAGGACTAATGCGCGCGTTCCAATGTTATTGTAATAAAACAAAAATATGCAGGAAGCTACTACAAATGCTTTTGGGTGATCATTCTATACGATTTACTATACGTTTTATTTTCAGCAATTTCCTTAATAATGTGTCGTGATAAATTTTCATAATCTTCTATATTTAATTTTAATTCATTTGACATTAACGGATACAACAAGTTTAGAAATTCTGCTGCTGTTAATGTTTATAAAAATTTAAAAGTTTAATTAATTCAAAGTTAATTCAAAATAAAATAAATAAATTGAATCAAATAAAGTATCTTTACCCATTTCGAAAGATTTATTAGATTTTTGAAGTTGAATTGGATACCAAGGATTTATCTTCTCCTTTATAATTGTAATTCCAATGTCTTTATATATATTCATTATATCTTGTAATCGATCTAATTCAACTCTGTAATTCAAGCCAAATTTGTTTGTGCCTTTTTTCATAGTTAATCAAAATTAGAGGGCGAGATAATATATATATAGAATGCTACAATATTTAAATGTGAAATATCTCACATGTTCGGTGGTAGCTTTCTGTGCAAGGGCCAGCATTATAGATATTTAAGTCGGAGTCCACAATCTTAAAATTATGGAGCATTAGTTAGTTTAATGACATTTCACAGCTCATTGATTAATGAAACATACTTCTATCCAACCACCGCGCTTGCAAACCCTAAAAATTTCTGGGATGATGTTCGTTTTCCACTCAGCTTCAGTAAAATATTTCATCATAAATCTCATATAAATAAAATCAAAGGTATTATCTGCATATGGAATGCCATCAAGAATATCGTGTTTAATGAATTTCACATTCTTTGAATTCTTTGAAAGATCACGTGGAAAATAGTCATCGCGACGATCTATTCCAACAAAGTTACTACTTTGATATTGGGAACAAAGATCTAAGAGGAAAGTTCCAGTGCCACATCTATAATGATTAAAAAAAAAAGAAATTCATTGTTCTCATGATTCTACGCAAAGTTAATAATAATAATAATAATCGTACCTGAGATCAAGTATGAATGCTCCATTATGCAACGTTCTTTCTACTGGCGAGGAAAAGTAACTATTCCAAATATATCGAAAATAGGCATCAATTTTACACATAAATTTGGCATCAAAAGGATAATCGGGATTTTCCTGATATTTCCGTTTTAATCTTTGAATAATTGGCTTTTTAAATTTTTTTATTATGTTTCGAATTTGTGATATTTCAAAAATTTGTTCTGGCTTTACCAAACGATTCCCCATTCTTTGATAAAGTATTTGATATTGAATAAGTAGGCAGGTAAAAGGCATGAATTATTTAATTTAATAAAATTTTTTCTTTTTTTTTAAAGTCTCATATTTATATAAAACAAGCAAGTTATTCGAATATAGTATATACGACATATTTGTGATATGTTACTAAAATCAATCTGGACGATATTCTTAAATTATAAATATTTTTTGAGGAACAACCCTCTAATTTTCCATAAAAAATTGAATTTCTTAAAGTTTAAAATGTTGTAAACAAACAAAATTTGATGGTAATATAATTGGTCATTCAAAGATAAAGATACCATGATTTATGCATACACATAATAATTTTAAGGGAAAAATAATCAAGTTTATTTGTGAGAGTTCAAAACCGGATGAATTCCCATAATGATCTTATTCACGTTTTTGTGTCATATGGTATAACTTTACAGATATTATGTGGTCCTAATTTGTTTCTAGACGTTTCTTTTAAGTTTGTCTTTCTAAAGAAGAAATTCACCTATTTCGATTAGTCGCATTACAGACCTTGTGGGTTTTCATAGGTAAAGTGGGATTAATGTCAATAAATAACAATAGCAGAGAATCGCATTTTCCCCCTTTTTCAAAACATTTTAGTAATATCTAGGGAAACGGAAACCGGTCCTAAATCCAAAGCGAAAATTCAATGATATCGAAAAACCAATCATCTAGCGTCTCACAAATGAGGGAGACCGTATCACAGGACTGTAAAACTTCTTCTTATAGGGGTTACCATTAAAACATTCATATGAATTAGTCCGGAGCACTATACTCAATATGTCCGGTTGCCCAGCTCAAAAATTGAGTCGATACGTGATTGGTTACTTGCGTTACACATGCTTCGGACGGTCAGTAAAATTTAGCAAATATCTTCCAAAACCCTCTTCACATTCTTGCATAATTCGGTTGGATTTTTGATGGCATCTTCCGTTAGTGAAATTCGATACTCGGTCTTACTTGTACAATAGATGCCTTCGGTACTATGTAGGATGAAATACCAGTCCGTGGAATTAAGAATGCATTAAAAAATTAAAAAATCAAAATCGAATGACGCATCAGTTTCTAGAAATGATCGTCACTTTCTAAGCCACATTTAGTCATGTGGGTTTTTGGTGAATAAATACGCGTTTTGTTCGATTAAAATACTTACTTGGAAAAGATTTTTTTTTTCATACGAGATGGCTTTGATACATTCCAACTTTGACTTCTTGAATAGACCTTGGTGGAGACCAGATTATGATGACCGCGTTCATCAGTATTTTATTTCAAATACCACGCGCCTCCAACAAGCCATATTATTATCTGTTAATAACGAAGATGAGCTTTTTTGGGAGGGTTTCATGGAACTTCATCGCGAACGCTATTTAATCGAATGCATTTCAGCGGAAGGCAATGTAGACATCGATGATATAAAACAGCTGTTAAAGAAATCATGGTTTAAAGTTTTTCTGAACAACATTTTCAGAATAATTTTTCCAGGAATAATTTTTAGACCTAATTTACGCTTGGCTAGCTACATTTGCAGAATAACGTTTGGAAACATTATTAACAGAATAATTTTTGGCCCTTCTCGTTCTTCGCACCTAGCTAAAAAAAATCCAAAATCTTCACGATACCATTAACGGCATTTTCCCGTCCATCTTCTTTCTCAACCTTCCAATGGATCGCTTTACGCCTTTGCTCGCACAGCAGTTACATCAACAGGTTGGCAACGGGTTGATTGACAATGCGGGTCGGTACAGAACGCGATACGTTATGGCAGCGCAAGAAAATTATGTTTATTTGGCACCAAATTTGATAGGAGACAGAATGGAAGAGCTATTCCGTCAATGTCGAGTAAGATTTGGAGTAGAGGAATTGGAGTTAGATGATGCTATCAAATTTGGGGCGTGTTTTCTCTCTCACTTCTTGTATATTCATCCTTTTATGAATGGAAATGGGAGTGTGGCTAGATTGCTCTTAAGTTATTTGCTATCAAGATTTACTGTAGTGCCACTTTCTTTGTACACGGGAACGAGAACACGGGATATATATTTACAGTGTCTGCGTGAATCGAGGTATCATAAATCATTCATGCCCAACGCACTCGCTACTTTTATACTCGAGAATGTATACACGACCTCTCATAACATATGTGCAGTGATGGATATAAATGTTCCGAATAATGTTTAATGTATATTTTAGCACGTTTCTGCAAAAGAAATATTTCTTAGCTTAAAAAATATTATATAATTTTATTTACGCTGTTTTTAGGAATTCTTTTTTTACTTAGTATTAGGATTTATATTAGGGTATTGGAACTAACTTAGCTTAAAAATTATCATATGATTTTATTTACGTTATTTTGTAAGAATTCCTTGCTTCACAGAATAAAGTGTTTACTAATTTCATTTCAGTGTGCATTTAAAATCAAGTCTCGTACATTTTTGGGAAGATATTTTTACTCGAATAAAATCAGTAGCAAATAACACCACATTACTTGTATACATGGTTAAAAAGATATAGCCCGTACGGACCAATGATTTAAAAAAATTTATTGCACAGAACATATGACTCAGAACGTTACTATTTTGTTCATCCTATCATATCAATTTTTCACATTGTAACAATAATGTATATACATATTTATAATGCTCTGTCCCGCTTTCTTATGAAATTAAGCGTGTATTTCATTCTTAAACCAAACTTCTGATAAAGTCGTTATCTTGCATTTAGTGCTATCATATCCATCATAGAATAAGTAGATAACTCGAAGGAATTGTGATTCTTCAGCAGGCGGCGATTTTATTGCATCACGCAATCACATTAACAATTCTTTTTTTCTCTCTTTATCGTTACTATCCTTTGTAATTCCGTTAAAAATTCTGTAACTATCAGGATTATAGCGAATAAAGAAAGTAGGGATGCCAAGTGCTTGCGCAATGTCCCACATTCTTTTTATCTCACAGTTATATTCCCCTTTCTTGTGTTGATACTCATCCACTTCCAGTACAACTTGATGTGTGCCTGCATCAATGACAAAGTCAGGTCGCTTTTTTGAACACAATCCATCTCCCACAATGGAATCGTATGCTTCGTATAGAATATTGTTTTCGTCTAAAATATATTTCACTCAAAGTTGCTTTGTCAAACGTACTCTTACTTTCGCTTCAGCATAAGTGTTACATTCAGCGCACTTTTGATCCTGAAAAAGGATATCAAGCAATCCACAATTAGAACATATTTTTTGGACTAGATCAATCATATTATCTGTGGAGTGTTTTTCGCATCTAGTAGGGTTAGAAAGCCCGTGAGTAGCAGGCTTTTTACAATCTGAGATCATGCATAAACGTGAAGATTGTGCTATCATGCCTTTGTCTTTATGTGTGAAGCATCGTGACATTTTATAACCAGGTATTCCATATAGTGCTCTCTTTTGACAATTAATATTATTACACTTCGGGCCAACAACATTAATCATTCCAGGATTTCGGTGGGCTTCACAAAAACGTGCACTTTTTTCTCCCAAAAGATTAAAAGTCGGTATGGTCATACAACAAGCTTTCTCACACCGCTGATTTACTACATTGACCATACCAGCTGTTTTGTGTCTAGCGCAACATTGGCCTTGTGTTTTTCCTGGGACATTAAAATAAGGACGAGCATAACAATCTGAGTGTGCGCACTTTCTGCTTGCAACGTTAATCATGCCACCCTGCTTATGTTGACCACAGAAAGTTCGTAATGATCCCTCTACAGAAAAGAGCGCCTTCTTTTGACAACCCGGATACTTACAAAGTTTAGTTTGGATATCAATCATTTCTGGTTATTTGTGTTTAGCGCAGAATTTGCCCTTATCTGAGCCAATAACATTAAAAACTGCACGTGTAGGTTCTAAGCGTTTTCTGACCCTTAAGTGAATCATCCCTTCTTTCATATGAGTGACGCATGAAGTTGCTTTTGAGCCGGGGAAACCGAAATGAGGAAACTTGTAACAGCCATCTTCTTGACATTGTGTCTTTACGTTAACATAACCAACTGGCTTATGCGTAGCACAATAGCGTGGAGTTTTTGAATCTTTTGGACCAAACGAAGCTCCTTTTTGACAACAAAGTTGTTGACAGCGTTGTGGCATTTTTATGTTAACCTAGAGGTGTCTACTGTAAAATTAAATCACAGCCGGAACTTTCAGCACCAGTTACTGTCATCTGAGGTAAGATAAACAAATCTTTAAGAAGACTGACAGCTGTGTGAAGGATTGTTGAAATATATTCACAGCGTATAGCCTCATTGCTGTCAACAGCTGGACCCATATTTTTTATTCTGCGAAGAATGTCGTCAATGCAGAGCTTAAACTCCGGAGAAATTTCTTCTATAGGGTGGGGGTCTATAAATGGAATTTGTAAGTCTGAAATTTGTTAACGAAAAAATTGTAATGCATATAACTTACCTGGAGCGAACTGAGGTATGCTTGTTATACTATCACTATTAATGTCATATTTCGCCAATACCTCACTCAAACTGCGGTATGAGGAGAACGCACGCTTCGGCTTTTCTTTGAGGGTCTGGACCTCTTTTGCAAGTAATATTGCGGGACCTCTTTCTAACCCATCCATAAACTTTTCTTCTGTCATCTCAAGAAAGCAGAGACCGTTAAATTTTTTCTTGCGAAGTATCCTCATACCATCGTCGTCGAGCCAAAGGTTCTGCTCTTTCAAAAAATCGATAAGGGTTTCTGTATCCCAGTTCTCAACCAAGTAAGAGTCGTGTTCAGCTGTTGAGGTAGACATAACGCTTTTATAGGGAATATTTGGCTCAGACAAAAATAGTATTACGTTCCGGAGTGAGATAAAAATTTATTTCTGTTCGGAAAAAAAAAAATACTGGGCATTAATATAGGTTTTATCATTCAAAAGCAAATTATCACCGGAAGAAATTGGATAAGATGTTTCAGAACTGGCAGACTCCAGAGGCGTAGCATCATTTCACGTGATCCGTTTCTTATGTACGTTCGATAAAATAACATTTTATTTATGAAATAAAAACGTTGACGGAACCCAGCCTATAATACATCAAAATTGCGACTATATCGCTACATAGTACATATAAAAATACTAATAACTTGGTGAGGTATGGGAGACGCGACTACATGAATTAAATCTGCTGGAGGATCACCTTCGAAATAAGCGGAAATCAAAGCCTGTGGTTGCATACGTCTTTCGTCTACACTCCCACTTGACGGATATCAAGAGGAATATTATTGTATGGATGCCCCAACTGGTTTTGAATAGCTGTTTGAAGTGTGGTAACTGCTCCATTTCTGGGGAGCGTAATTCTTAGAGTAAGATTATTTTCTGAAAGAGCATTGAACTGTCTACTAGGAATGATAAGGCATTTGAGAGTAATATTGGTATTGGCCATTTTTTCGACCCCTAAATACAAGACCCATAGTGAGTATTTTCCACTCTCGGTGCATACATAACTTCTGGCATATACATACCTTATGCGTCTTTAGTATCGAATGATCTAACTAGATGGTAATATCTAAGACTTTTATCTATAGCCTTAAATTTTAATCTATAAGTTGCGTAAAGTGATGCATTTAATAAACTAAGTTTTGCTCAGATTATCTTTAATCCTGATTTTTTTAGCACTGCATGATGCATCTACATTATCAAAAACCTGAGCCTTTTTAGAAACTAAACCCTAGAGATATAATATCAATTCAGAAGAATCTATACACTTCTTAACATCATCAGCTTTATATCTTATTCTATCATTGATATCTCTAGCTGGTATACAAACTCTTAATAATTCTAAGCAAATTCGATGCCTCTCAGCTTGGGTTGCAGTTGTAAGCCTATCTTCTTTATAATCTTTACGGAAAATAGCCTCAACTGCTGTTTCATTACTAATACCAGCATTTCGTAATTGCCTATAAGCTCTAAACCATTTCATGTGATTGAAATTCCCATATTTTGAGATAAATTCTTTGGTTAATAATTCAGGTAGGATCCCATAACAATTCACAATATGATGCTGGTCTAAAGAACGCATCTCTTCTAAAGTCTTCTTTGACTAATTCTCTAATAATTTAGCAGTCTCATAATTGATAATAGAAGTTTTAGATATATCTGATATCTCCTTTGCTTTAACAATAGAAAAACTCATCTTCACTATTTGGAATAGCAATATCGTAGTATCTTCAGATTTTGAAATGAATTCTATGATCTGACTTTTGGAGAAAATCAACTATTCTCCAACCAAATAAGCGTCAGAAATGGAAATTTTCCAACATGTATGCTACCCATAATTAAATAATTAGCACGTCTTTATTCCAGATAATAGAATCTACATCTGAAAAAATTCCTCTATTCTGAAGTTCACAGGAAGACATTCATGTTTGGCATTCAATAACCATTGAAATAATCTTTTTTCTATAATAGGAACATTAGATGATCTTTGTTAAATATAGCATACATAATCCTTAATGCATCGCATGCAGAATAATATCTGATTCGTTTCAGTATTTGTTTATATAGCTATTAAAAAGACAAAATGCTCATTCAAAATTAGGATTAGTGCAAGATACTCCTATTTTTAGAGTGCTAGTATATGCAACAAGATCAATGTTTTTCTATGATTCTTCTACGTTGCTGAAATCTTGAGCTTTTTCTACTTAGTTTTAGAAATTCAGTCTTGAAAGTATGAATAATTCTGAGGCTGATACTGTAAGTATTATGAATAAGTGAAATAGTTTATCTTTATGAAAAGCTTTAATCCATTTGATATTAAGATCAGTAAAGTCATTATTCATAACAATAATGCATTTCGCTTCTTGAATTAGTTTATGCAATTTTTCTATTAATTGCTCTGCTAAATAATTTTATGCTTGAGCAATTATAGATACTATTTCATCAAGCCATAAATCATATTGGTTTAGTGAACATTTACATTTTTTATTACATTTGCAATTATTGATAATATGATGTAGACTCTCTATCTAACATACTACCGTCTTATGATCAGGTAGATTTATATTACTATCAATATCATAATATGATTTAAGATTAAGTCTTATAGTAATAGTATTCAAGTAAGAGTGACACGTAGATAATATAAGCAAATTTACATTATCAGGAATAGCCAGAATATATGTTTTTCTTGTTTTCTAAGACGATTTAACATAAATATCACCTTTATTAGATAATGGTTTTATATTCTTTTTCTCATATGTTTCTGTTGTTGTAAGGAGTTTATTATACACTAGTCGAATGATGACAAATAGGGGACAAATCAGGTTAAATCTGGGTTGTCAGATTTGACCTGATTGGTCTCCTATTTTTTTGTTTTTTTAGAATCAGGTGATCCCAATTGATGACGATTAATGGCATAGATAGGATATAATAAGGTTCAAATTAGGGTGTTATAAAAATATTAATAGGGTTATTCTTATTAATATCAATTTATTAACATTCAGTTTTCAATCGGATTATCCCTAAATCATCAATAGGGATATTCTTATTGGGGGTTTTTATTATTATTATACAAATAGCGTATCCCGATTGGTAATATTTTATCAAATTTATTTAATAATCATAATAATATTTTATACCAATAAGTAATTTTGATTAATTATAATAAAAAGAATTTTATTAATATGAAATATCCCGATTGGTAACATTTTATCAAATTTATTTAATAATTGTAATAATATTTTATACCAATAAGTAATCCTGATTAATTATAATAAAAAGAATTTTTTTTAATATAAAATATCCCGATTGATACAATTTATATAAATTTAAACATATTTGAAATTTTACCGATTTATTCAGTATTTATTATAAAATCTACTGATTTCTATTTATCTGTATTACTACTACTACTACTATTATACTCGGAAGATACTACACTTTCACTCCTTTTAATTCTCTCCTTCTTGTTACTTTCACCTTCATTATCATCATTATTTTTATTGGATTCCTCTTTACGATTGGATTTATCTTTACTATTAGATTCCCCTTCATGATTGGAATCCTCCTGAAATGGTTCCTCCTGAGTGGTTTTCTCCTGAATGGGTTTCCAATATTTAACATACTTGGAATCATTAGATTACTGATTATCACTTTCAGAACAATGTGGAATATGTTTTTCCACTAACGACCTTAATGATCTGGTGTATCCAGATCTTATCCATTTAGGAGCATTTACCAGTACTTCATTTTCACCAGCTGCAAATTGGGTATTATCATATACCCTTTTTCTAGTTCTGTGTGCTTTTGATGATTTAGAATTTTCATTATCCACATAGTCTCGCAAAAACAACTGCAACTATTAGAAATAAAAAGAATAAATTAATACAACCCGATTGATAAAAATAAAAATAAAATTACTTACTGTGGATGATTGCCATTTGGGTTTACGAATAACAATTTTCTTTTATTAGGATTTTCATCATCAGTTTCTGAAACCTCTGGGCTATAATATCGATTATCAGTTTGAACTGGTTGGAGTTCATCATTATAAAATTTTCCAACCAGATGATCCTTTAATCTAATATATCTATCAATAGTTCTTGCTCGTCATTCTCGTTTCTAATATTTTTTTTAAAAAAAAAAATTTTAAAAAAAGTTATTTTAACAACTAATCTGACTGTTTACTTACTTCATGACGATATGTGTTAGCATGCTTTCTCCTCCTTTGAAAGTCATTCCATTCATCTCCTTTATTTCTCTTAAGTACTTTTTCTCTTTAGTGTCAATGGCATTCATAAACAATGTGTTTTATTATGAAATCTGATACTGGAAATGCTTTTTTATTAATCAATTTTTGTACAATCGGTATCATATGTTTATTAACCAACTTTCGTTGGCTTTCAAAGGTTCTGTTAACATCTAACCTTTGGTTTTCAGGAAATCTATAAATGATACTGATTATTTCAGACTAATAATAAAATGTAAATCAGGTAAATAATTTAGACAAAATTATTCAAATAAAAAATAAAATATGAGTATCCTTAATGCATTTCGTAATTCTCTATCTATACTTTCATAATAAATATATAAAGTTTGTGAAGAATCAGATGGGAAAAAAGGAAATGAGAATTGATTCAGACTGTTTTGGTTAGAACGA